TCAGTTTTGAAAACTTACTTACAATCCATTTCTAATCTTTACAGGGGACCTAAACATAGATATATTAAGCCCAGAAACAGATACCAATTATGTTTCCGAATACTTAAATGTACTTGCTGAATTTGGGCTTACATCGAGCATTGATATAGCTACTCGCCAAAAAACTTGTCTGGATCATATTTTTGTACCAATTAAGAGCAGGGCAGAATCTATAGTTTGTTCCTCTGATATAACTGATCATGAAATCACTATGGCAGTGTACGTTAACGCATCAAAAACAAAATGCTCAGACACGTTCAAGGATTAGAGTAGACTATGAATCGCTGCATTCTGATCTTCATTTGATAAATTGGCATTCTTTGATGAACACAAATGATATTGAGAAGGCAGTATCTCTCTTCTCCTCCACAGTCGTGGATGCTTTATCGAGGCACTCTAAGATTGTGAAAGTTAGTCGCTCCAAATTTAATATCGAACCTTGGATGACTCCTGGACTTATGAGGTGTTCTAAACATCGTGATAAGTTACACAGCAATTTGCGTAAAGATCCCAACAATAGCGTAAAAACTAATTTATTCACGGTACAGATCATAATTATATATTAACTTACTAAGGAAACTTAAAGCTGATTATTATAACAAGTTGATAAGCCAAAATAAGGATGCTCCAAAAAAACTATGGAATACTATTAGGCACATTACTCATAACACTGCAACTGTCTCGTTACCCGAAGAGCTAATTAGGACTAGAAACAATATTAAAGAGTCTCTCAATTATTGTAACACCTGCCTCTCTTCCACAGGTAGTAACCTCGCAAATAAAATTTTGACTAGATTAAATGAAACACAGGACTCAATCGCCAGTAAAGTACACTACACTAATTCACCTAAAAACTCTTTTTTTATGGAACCTACCGATTCTCATGAAGTGCTGTGTTTAATAAAATCTCTTAAATCAGGAAACACCTCTGGTTTTGATGGTCTGAATAATAGTATTTTGAAGAATATTGGACATCTTATAGCTGAACCGTTAGCCTCAATATTTAATCTGAGTATATCGTCAGGGACTTTCCCGCAGGTCTGGAAAACGGCTGGAGGAAAGGCATTGGTGATTCCCATATATAAAGCAGGTAGCAAAGACGACCCGACTAACTACCGTCCAATATCACTTTTGCCAGCTTTTTCGAAACTTTTAGAACGCATCATCTATAAGCGGCTAGTTAAATTCCTCAATCAAAACAGCCTTCTAAATGACAAACAGTTTGGATTTCGTCAGGGAAAGTCCACTGAAGATGCTGTAATCATTCTAATGGATGCTGTTGTTGATCACCTCGATGAGGGTGGGTGTTGCATTGTTTTTCTGGACCTTGCTAAGGCATTTGACACTGTTTCTACACCTATACTCCTCAAAAAGCTGGAGTGTGTTGGAATACGTGGCTTGCCACTCAACTGGATTGAGAGTTATTGTCGCATAGAAATCAATGTATCAAGATTGGTGATCATATAAGTGATCCTATACATGTATCTATTTGGGGTTCCCCAAGGGAGCATTCTGGGTCCAATCTTATTTACTATATATATTAATGATCTTCTAAATCTCCCTACTCCAAAGCTGTAACGCAATCTGTTACGCAGATGATACTGCTCCCATATTCCATGGCCCAACTTGGCAGGAAACGCAGTACATGGCTGAATGTGGTCTTCGACAAGTGTCTGAGTGGCTGGACTATAATCTCCTAACATTAAACGCGTCTAAGACCCAGTATTTGTGTTTCCATAAAACAGCTGTATCTCGCCCACCTTCAAGTAAGTTCAATATTAAAATACACAAAAACTGTCTATCGCCTAATGGTACATCCAACGCTTACTGTAATTGTGACATTATCAACAGGGTGGTCTCGCTGAGGTATCTTGGAATTGAACTGGACGAAAATTTAAATTTCAAGAAACATATATCAATTACCGCAAAAAGAGTTAGAAAATTAATGTACACAATGAAATTATTGAGAGTCATTTCAGACAACACTACTCTGAAATTGGTATACTTAGCGTTATGTCAGTCTTTAATAAATTATTGTCTACTAGCCTGGGGAGGTATTACGAACCTTAAGTCCAATTTAATTCCCTTAGAAAGAGCTCAACGAGCTGTTCTGAAGGTTTCTCTAAAAAAACCGCGACTATTCGACACGATGCAATTGTATAAAGAGGCTGAGGTCCTGAGCGTGCGCAAATTGTTTGTAATGCGAGTTACTGTATACATGCACAAATATGTGAAGAGTCTACCAACATACAAAGATATATTAAAGAAGAGAATCTATAAAGCTCCTGTGTCTAAGGCTAAAACATCATTTGCTCAACGTCACAAAAAAATTCTCTTTCCACACATATACAATCAAATTTGCAAACTAATTGATATAAAACACTCTCAATTATCAGGTTTAAAAACACTCCTCAACAGTATACTGATGTCCTGGACATATGAGGACACTGAGAAAATACTAAAACCCGTAATATAAATTTAGAGAATTCTGAAATATTCTAATGATTCTATATGAATTTACAACACTTCCAAATAACATTCTTACTCACTCAAACACACACACACACACACACACTCACACGTACACACATACACACACACACTCGCCGACTAACAAATACATATCTGTAATTTTTATTATTGTATTCTTTGTTTATTTTATTTTATTTTTTGTCATATATTACTAGTATTAATATTATATAAACACTAAATTTTTATATGCACTATGATCGCCGTACCTATGTAACGTTAACTGTGGGTGTGCTTTGATTTCCACGATACAGGCATTGCCTAGTGTGGGGTCATAGTTACAATGTTATTTAAGTTATATTTTATGAAATAAATGTTATTCTATTCTATTCTATTCTATAAACTTGTGACACCATTTGAGCGGATGTGCGATGTATGTATAACGCAATTAGATAATTTCCATGTCTTTGACGTTTGAATTATTGATTCGTCATGCGAAAATAAATAAGCGGAATATTACCGAATTTAATATATTAATATTAATTTACAGTACATTTAGTCTGAATCTAATAAGCTTTTACAGTATATATTTTTTTTACATAAATATTATAACAATTTTGCGTATAGACTTATAAAAATAAAATAAGTGCGAAATCTTTTTACTTACATTATTCTTGTTATATTCAGATAAGTATATAATATTTTATACAATGTAGTAGATATAGATACAAAAACTGTTTTCAACACAAAGCCTCCAATACAAAGGGTTAAAACAGACATGTTGCTTTCAGCTTACTCAAATATGAAACAAGCTTGTACATAATAAAATACTATAAAATAAAGGGATAGGGCCTTTGAAGACACCATTTATTCTATTATCCTCGAGTAAAGACCCGTATGTACTCTGTAATGTTCATTTGAGTACTCTGTACACCGAAGTAAGGGACGCAGGGGGTAAGTAAGCGTATTTAAATAGGAGCCATAAAGAAATCGTTCGCATTGTATTGGGTAATAAAAACTAATTATATTATAGTTATATATATTGCACTTTCACCCGCGTGAAATTTATAGCCTGTATATTATTCTGATGCTAATAAGCTATATTATTGTTTATTATTGTTATTTGTATTTCATTAAAATACATTCAGTAGTTTTTTCCTGAAAGAATATACATACTCACAGACATCCGCGTTTATAATAATAGTATTATATTATCATATTATATCCAATTTATTTAAGTGGAAAAAAATTGGGGCTGCAGGCTGGGCTGCTTTTTATTGCCTGTTTTTAACTAAAAATATTTTCTTTCTTTATACGACAATTTTAAGACTTACCTTTAAAACTGGCATCTGTTTTAATTTCTCTCCGCTCACTTTAAAGCCCTACATAGAATGCGCTGCTCAAGTCTGCCAGGCGCGTATTTATTGTTTGGGCAATCAACTTGAAAGCTCTCTGTAGAACTTCAACAACACGTCTCGGCAGCACAACTTAGTATGAACTCAACTTTTGTCTAAATACTGTGGGTCCTATTATGATATTTGTCTTCATTTGCAAACATGAAAATAATTGACGATCTTGTTAGAACTACAATGAAATTTAGGTACTGGCAATTTTTATATCTGTTTGTGTTGTGAGGTTTCGTGTAAAAATGGCTGGAGGAATTAGGAGGCAATTGTCTCAGAATATCGTAAATTGAAAAAAAGTGAGAAAATAACACCTACACAGTGAGAAAATGTTGGATTTTTTTTCCAACCAACGGAAACGGAAGCCATTTCATGGGCCGGAACAAACAGACAAACAGACAGACAGACAAAAATTTTAAAAAATATTATTTTGGTGTATGTACCGTATTTATATTTATATGCACATATTAAAAAACGGTTATTTCAATATTACAAACAGACACTCCAATTTTATTTATATGTATAGATAATGAGTAAATTTTATTATATCCATAGTTTCGACCAGTGATAATTGTTTTCATCTAATTTAATATGCTAAATAGCTCGAAAGTTATAAACGCCTTATGAGGCTCTTTTATTTCAAATGGGAAAGCTTTATTTTACAAAATTCTTTATGGAAGCAGTATTACCCGTTTCATTGGAATTTTATTGTTTGTATCATGGGTCGTGGGATTACGACATTTTATTAACATGTACCCCGGGTTTACTACGCATTCTAAATTTAAATGTGAAAGGTATAGTTTTTTTATGTTGTTTTGTTTTATAAAATACGAATAGAAAGACATTTAAAAATAGAATCACTATTAAATTAAAAGAGTGCATAATAATAATTTAAAATTATTTAGTTAATATGTTTAAATACTTAACTTATACAAAGTACCATGGTACCTAAAATTATACTAAAAATTTGAAGTATACATATGTATTCACATACATATTCGTTTCTTACTTTAAATTTAATGTTTTATGCAGTGATATATACTTTGTTTAGTAATTAAATTATATAAATACTTTATTATTGGTTCCCAGGTTGCAACAGAACCTATTATGGCGATATTGGGCGAACGTACGAGTTAGAGCTGCATCGACCGAGAGAAGATCTCATTCCGTACGTTTGTTTGATCACAATCACAGCGCCTGGTGGTATCCATGGTGATCTAGTGCAGGTTAGTATTAACTTACCCAGTCAGAGAGCTCTGAAATTGAGTGTTCTGTTGATGAAACGACACCTATGTAGGAACATATATTTGAATGAGGTATAATTTGATAACAATGTTAGAATGTTAATTTAGATTCTTTCATATATTAAAGTAAAAAATAAATGTAAAAGTATATGAATTAATAGTTTTTATTTATCAATTATTACATTAATATGTTATCAAGAGAAATTATATATATTTAGTCCATATTGATAGTATTATACTATTAATAATAATACTGAAAGTCTCTATGAACTGAAAGACGAATTCATTTAAGGCTGACTCATTTTTAAAAATGCTGTAAAATCTGTAAAATATTTAGAATTTTTTTTTATTACAATTCTTATTCTAACTTCTAAGAATTTATTACGCACGTCTACTTCAGATACAAAAATTAAACAGTTAACATAAATGTAATAAGTTAATTTGATATATGATCAAATAATATAATAGGAAAAGTCCATAAAATATTAATATTTGGTTCGCTTAATGTTATTATAATTTTTAGGACTTTATTAGTTAATGATAAGTTAAAATGGCACGTGTCTTGTACTAGACTTGCTTTATTAAAAGTAAGTTAATTTTGTTTCCAGTTTTATACAAATACCCAGAAATTATTGTAAGAATATTATTAAAGTTGTTTTCATAGTAGATAGTTGCTTGAAGTTTATTTATTTAAACAATATTCCCGGTTAAATTCATAATAATGTAGAAAATAAAAATTCATGTAATTACTTTTAATAAATTAATTAAAATATGAGATATTTTATCGCGATGGATTAATTGAAAAAACACACGGTATGAATATTTCAGTTTCAAATACGTAAAGGAAAATAATAAAATTGTATCACATAAGTTTAGTCTTTGATTGAACTAAACGAAATTGTAATTAGTTTTCTCTTGTTTGCGTTTCGTGAATACAGTACACAGATTTCGATATTCAGGTATCTAATTTAAATTCTCGAATAGAATCTAGTGGTTTTAGAAATTAGGTACGGTAGGTAAGTGCGGAAAGTAAACGTGTCAATACGCCTGTTGGTAAAACCACAACAAATAAATATGGGTATCTCTTAATACGAAATAATTTTTAAACTATACTGACTATATTATTTCAACATAAGATAATTTTTATCATTATTTATAAACCTAAAAAAATATTCGAGTCTGAAAAATAATGAGTTATCTTTCTGTATTTAATATTCTAAGCTTGGTTTAATAGATAAATATTGGCAAATATTAGTTATTTTCCTCAAGATAAGGAATATACCCAATAACTGAACGGTATTTATTTATTTAAAGTCTACAGTGATATAATTTAAAGAGTTGATTAATATTAACACGGTAACTAGGTTAGACTTTCATCGGTGCAGTAATTCCAGGGTTTACTTTCCTCATAACAAAATTTGTTCTCTATCTTCATTATATTAATACAATATTAGATTGTTTTAGTGTCAATAGGTGTTTCAAGCCTCGGAAATAATGTTTTTTTTTCATAATACATGCCTTATCTTGATGAGTTTTATAGGAACCCGGCGTCAAATCGAAGAACTATAGAACTGTCGCAATACGTATCAGTAAAATGAAATTTTCGATTTCTTACACTATAGGTATAAACACATTTTTATTTTGTAATAATCTTCAGTTGTACTCAGAATGTCTCCAACAGACGCTGTGAAGTGGGCGCTTTCCTCCATTTTGGGAACGTCTGCTTAAATATTGTGTTCCAGTACATTTCTCGTTTACTACCAACTCTCGTTTTAATTTCCCGCCGGTCGTTTGTTAAAAGAACATCGACCTCCCATTAATTTGCATTCATTAAACGAGTTTTATTACTTCCCGAACTTTACTTGCATTTTGTTTGTCACTACCTACTCATTTTGACTGTTTTCATCACCATTTTCTGTCATTATCAGACATTTTCGAAAAATCAATAGACATATTGACAGTGTAAACCAAAAATTTCTATCAAACAAATCACATTTTGGGGTTTGTTCGTAGTTTTATGTCATTTGTTCGATTAAAATTCTAGAAATGGTAGTTATTAAATTCTATACCTGTATTCTGACATCCTCACCACACGTAGAACTCTAAGTACATGTTACAATTGAATGGATTTTTCGTAATATTATATTTATTTATAGTACTATAAGTATATATTTCGAAAAATGAAGATATGTCTAATGTATGTTATTTTTATAAAAATTATAATCCTTTACATGTGTACTTAACATAGACACAATAACTACTACATAACTACCATTTACATAATAAGTCACATTTACGCGTGTAAAATAGTCTGAGTCGATTTTAGACCTTTAGATCCGCAATAAGTCAAAATTTAAATATTTTGACTTATTATATACTCGTATGAACCATGTTAAAATAAAATAATAAAATAGAAGAATAATAATATAATATCTCAGTACAATTCACACAACGGCATCTAGTCCCAAGCTAAGCAGAGCTTATCTTATGGGTACTAGACAACTGATATAAATGCATAGATGTATTTTGTTTGTAAATAAATACATATTATAAATAGAAAACATCCAGACCGATACAAACAATCATACTCATGAATACAAATGTTTGTACCGTGCGAGGAATCGAATTCGCGACCATCGCATAGTAAAGTGGTATGGTAAACAACTAGACCACCGAGGCTTTCTAAATGGAGCAGTATTATTCTTCAAGTTTGTATAAAGTGCCGTCACATAAGACACCGAAACAGGTCAAGCGTCGTGTCCACGCGTTGGTAGGAAATTGTGTTTATTTCTTCAACACAATAAGTCCCACTAGTGGTTTGCTCACCGCTTTTAGTAAACAGAACCATAGGTGTATTTGTTTAAAGGTGAAATAAATCCAAGAGGTATTGCCAGATGTTCCAAATGTCAAATTTCCGCAATTATGCTGTAAGGTTATTTATAAGGTTAATATTAAAACTTATAGTAACGAGTGTGTGCATTCTGTCGCCGACATGAAACCCCGGGTTATTTTTCTTACAATTGAAATTTAATTAAAGAGATAATCTTTAAATTAAATTTTAATTATAAGTTTTAGTGTTAAATGCATTTTTGATAATTCATAAAATAACATAACATTTTATTGCAACGATCCAATTCAACTTTAATAAATAATATTCGATATATACATGATTAGTAGTGTCACGTCTTTTTATCTAACTAAGAAATTGTCTTCTCAAAATGTTCTCGTAGCTTATATATATGAATTAAAATATTTAAAATAAAAAAAAATAGAGACATTATTAAGCTTAAAACTGTTTTGTCAAAGAAATAAAAGTTTTTTTCGAAGTATATTTTCATATTCAACATCTTTATGACAGATGTAGACTTGGTCGATCGTAAAATATATTTCTTCCTAATTCCAATCTTCTTGACTGTCGAATTTCGCGGAATTACGATAACTGTCTAAAGTTGTACAAATTGGGAGAAGCACCTGCCAAACACAATACAACAAGAATAATTAATTTTTATTTTCATTTCTTTATTTGTTGTTACATAAAAATTAACAGACACCTGCCTACTGTAATATGTTATTTTATTCTTATAAAAAGAAGAATTCGTAATATATGTATGTATAGGGTTACTCGTAAAACTCGTAAAACTCGTAAAACGAAAAGCCAGTTCATTTCCACTCAAAAATTTTAACCTGTACCTCCAAAATATAGAATGGAAATCTGAAAGTAAATTTATAACTTTCATACTAAATTGTTCACTTGACCAATTTAGTAAGGAAGTTCAATTTACTTGTTGGAGTAATTTGTTCAGTTTCGTGAAACCTATTAATGCCTACGACCCCGTATAAAACTTCGTAACAAATGTACTATTTAGTGAGTAAGTTGAATATTTCAGTTAACAGCATTTCGCATATATTGGGTTGTAAAATTTACGACTATTTAGCTGTCAGTACTTTATATTATAGATAATATAAAGTACTAATTTAAGTACACGTAATTTTAGTAGTCTCAAGCATTAATGTGAACTGTTCAATTATTTTAACAACTGAATTATTATGTATGGTTGCAGAGGCTTAATAAATCTGTATAAATATTTTTTGAAAAACTCAAAAAGTCGTTCCTTATATTTTTTGTGGATTACCTAATTATTAAAAGAATTTCAATATCCAAGTCCCAGTATTTGAAGCTACACTTATCAAGGTAGCAGTTAATTTGGAAGTACAAACTTCATGTTTTATAACTAATAATGACGACCTCGGTGGTCTAGCGGTCTAGCACACCGCTTTACGACCGATGGTCGCGGGTTCGATTCCTCGCACGGCATAAACATTTGTATTCATGGATTGTTTGTATTGGTCTGGGTGTTTTCTATATATAATATGTATTTATATTATTTACAAATATATATATATATCTAAGTATGTATTTGTATCAGTTATCTAGTACCCATAACACAAGCTTTAGCTAGCTTAACTTGGGTCTAGATGGTGTTGTGTGTATTGTCCTGAGATTATTATTATTATTATAACTACAGTAGCCATCTCGCTGCAGTGTCTTCCAGTTACATCCGTAATTTTAACATCTAATGTTATTTCTTGGAACAAAATAAGCTTTATAACATAAGCTGGTATAGATGTTTGAGTCACCGGAGTTCCATGTAATTTGATGTAATTTTCAGGTCCGTCGCTCTCACAAATGGACCGTGCACCGAGGGATCGAATCATCGAATGTCTCATATTTTCCTCGATTTTATAGATCTATTTTTAAGACAAACACCAACTCTCTGCCCAATAACTGAAACTTGTTTACTTCTGTTCTGACCTTCCATTTAATAGCTAGCGGCCCTTAGGTAGAAGTTTCGTGAATTTATTACTTTACTAAATCAAGTCCGACTTTCTTTTTTCATTTCGAACTTTTTGTACGATGAACTTATAAAAATGGTTTAATGGCTTTTAAGTTTTTAGGGATCAACAAGTGGCTATGAATCTGAAAGTTAGACTATTATTAGAAATTTTTGGTAGTTTAATTTAAACAACTGCGAAAGTATGTATAAGTATTTAACTTATTCTTCGTTAGTAATATTTATTAATATTACGTTAGTAATATTTTGATGACATATAATATCAATATAATTAAAAATTATGCGAGCAACGTAAAATTGCAATTACCAATAGAATGTTATTTTAATTTACACAATTCATAATTATATATCATAATATTAATTTAGAATTTGATTATATAACTTTTATGGTAAATATATACCTACGATGCTTTTTATTTTATATTTATATGTAATCTACTTTTAGCTATGATTTTGAAAATGCTATAAATGTTAAGAATGTTTAAGTAAAAATAGTCTGAAATATTACTTAACATCCACCTGAATTGTTAGAATAAGTTGAAGCCGTATCGTATTATGCAAAGCTTTCACAAGATTAATTTTCATTAATTCAAACTCGCATATCTGAAATCACACTTTCACCGTAACTGCAAAGGCGGGAATTCAAATCTCGCTTTGCAGAAATGGACGATTCTAATTTAGGATTCACCGATACATGTTGTGAATAGTTAAGCGTCACACTATACAACAAATATTCGATATGTATACTGATAGATTCGGAAATATTGATTTATTAAGCTGAGTATTCTGAATTAAACAATAAAAAACTTATTGAAATATTTTCTTACCCGTCAATGCTCGATGAAAAATCAAGAAATTTGTCTGTATTGAGTTCCATAAACTATACGTATATGTATCATTACTACGTATGCGATATTCAACATTCTTCTCTTAAAGATTAAACTTTGCCAATCTTTACCTAGTGTTTCTCTTTCTTCTCGTTTGCTAAGAAAGTCGCTCTTCGTACAGAGACATATGTAAACTTTCTGTGCTGATAAAATTTAATAGTTTCTTAACATTTCTCGGTCTTCATGTAGATATAGAAAAGATGAATATATTTTTAGATGCTTTTTATTGAAATTATATTTGTTCTCATTTTTTAGTACTAGAATCTTGTTGACCGAATTTAGAAAACATACATAAGTAATTATATACCAATCATTGTGAAAAATTCTAAAATTCATGATAGTATAAAAACATATATAAACTGTTCTCGTCTGATCCAACCTACTGAATTCAATGGGAATTAACCATGATAATTTTCAGGGGAGACCGTGGAGGTTGAACTATTACCGTACGAGTACATTGTAAGCAATGGAACTACTTGTTCCCATCCATTGTCCCCCAATTGTGAATGATAGGTCAGTATCTAACACCAATACCATATATATAATTATATGTTTTTATTACTAACATCTACCTCAGTATTATTAATTTTATAATAATATCATAATAAATCACTTAGGTGTGTGTTATCTCTTCACATTTGTTATAAAAGCTTAACGTTATGCAGCTATTAGATAAGAAATTCACAGGATTCCCGCTGCCTTTTGCTGTAAAGGTTAAAGTTATATTTACCCAAAAGTAATCCTCTGGGGTTAAGCCTACGTTTACTCTTCATTTGAGTTGATCTCAGTATCGCCCAATTACCACCGTACGTTTCGAGAAAAGCGATCTTTTGATCCCTCGATAAAGAAATTGGGTAAAATGCAAGTAGTTTTGTTAACTAATACCAACTACAGATTGTTGATGTAAAATAGAATGGAGATTTCAATTCTGTACAATTTTCAATGATAGACAAACGGTTAACCCGTTTATTGTGTCCATACTGAAGATTGAAATGGTATCTCTTTTATTGTATAAACCAGTAATAACAATAACATATCTGCACATACATATGTATCAATAATTCCAATTAGTGTTATTATTTTAATAGCTAATCAAACACTTAATTACTTTCTAGTATCGAAATAAGTCATAAATAAGCTCATTATCTAGTAGATATCTTTATCAATAACTTAAATATACATTACAAATAACAATATAATTTTAATGGATTGATATGCTTACTGTACCTAATAATTAACTTACTGTATTATTTTTTCTTAATATTGTAAAGGAAATGGACGGAATACGGAAAGGACGTTGGGCGTGACCGTTTTTTTTTATAAATATGTATAAAACAAGACTTTTGTCTTATTTTCTACTTAGTTATGAAAACATTAAATATCTGATTAACATATTTTTTTAATGTTTCACCCCTTTCTTTAGATTTCTTTTAACAAAAAAATACCACTTATAACATATACAAATAACATTTTGCATTTTTATGAAATAAATATATATTTATAGTGTTTGTTAGTAGTATGTATAACCATTATTATTCAAAGATTGTTTTGAACATACATAATAAAAAAGGTTCGTTTACATGTTTCTTATTTCGTTACTTCAAAGGACAAAGTTTTGAATCCATTCTTTACAGTATCCGTAATTTCAATGGCAGGTTTGTCATTTGCTATCAACCACGATGACCCATTCTGTCCTTTCTTGATAATTTCCAAAATACCCAATGTGGCTGACTCCACTCTGTTTATTGAAAATTTACATACATTTGTCACATACCAACATAAAAAGTATTATCTTATATATAAAATTCTCGTGTCACAGTTTTCGTTCCCATACTCCTCCGAAACGGCTTGACCGATTCTCATGAAATTTTGTGAGCGTATTGAGTAGGTCTGAGAATCGGCCAACATCTATTTTTCATCCCCCTAAATGTTAGGGGTAGTCCACCAGTAAATTTTTTTATTCTATTTTAAGGCAAAACAACGTTTGCCGGGACAGCTAGTAGTATATATATCTATATGTATATTATAAGGTAGGAAAGAAAGAATAAGAAAGGTTTTAAGCTAGAAATAATAGTTTAAATAAAATTAAGCATATTAATTAAAATATTTCTAAGTTTTAAGCTGACGTCCATGTTGTATGTTTATTCTGACACATCTGTGCTCAAAGTGTGGAAAAATGTAAAAATTATAAAATTTAATTTTGTCAATGGGAATATAAAATGAGAGAGCTGGTGTCGTCCCTTCATGCATGCATTATTCATATCATAATACGTTCAATGGAATAACAATGCCAATTTACAGTAATGATATCTGCACAGCTGATACGTTCACATCTGCGCTTCGTATGTTCATCGCAAAGAACAAGATAAAGTTAATTAAATAATAGCAATCTTACTTTTGTCTCTCTGGTACAGATGTGGTCAGGCTTTCAGGAACATCTCTAGTAAAGCTTTCCAAGCCCAGTCGTTGCAAGATGGCTGTGTCAGTGGGCCCCAAGCACACGGTCATAACGCGAACTTGTGTCTTTGAATAATACAACTCAGCCTGCGGAGTGCGGAGTTCATGTTTTCAAACAAAGTTTTCTGTGTACTTGTCCTGGTTCCGACTTTAAATTTATGTTTGGTATAAGAAAATAAAATATTCAGGAAGGAAAAGAAAATAAAATCTCGAGTTACTAAGGTTTTGTTTGATATGATTGTGTAAAATATTGGTAAATTTATTGATGAAATACAATATATTAATATAGGTAGGTGAAGTTATTTCTTACTCGTCAATCTCTCACATTTTTATTATGTATATACTCTAAAAATAGAGTTATACATCTCTTTTTATAAATTCTAAAGTAAACTTGATATTAACACAAATTGCGAAATTGAAATAACTCTTGATAGTATAATTAAAGAACTTTCTCTAACTTATTAAAGTTTATTTTTCAACCAATACTTTTTTTTTCTTTATTTAATGTGTTACTTGATAACCTTTTTCTATATTATTTTTTTATCTGATTTTAATTATTCTTTTTGTATTTTATAGTTTTATTACATTGCATGGTAGCCTATGAAATACTAATCAAGATCTGGCCAGCATTTATTGAATAATACTTAAATTGTTATTGTCAATTTAAGTCAATTTATAGAAAATTTTGGCTTGTATTTATAAATTAAGAGAATTTAGATCTTTATAATACATTATATAACATAATTCTTATATTTATTTAATAATAATAAAAATACTTACCCCCATTGCGTTGCTAAATTGTAAGACAGCATTTTTCGTGGCAGCATATACTGGTCGAAGTGGATTTAATTTTAAAGCCGACGTCGATGAAATATTAAGAACTAGACCACCACTACCAGTTTTATCTGCTCCCATTATTTCCATTGCTCGTAAAGTACTATCCACGGTTCCAGTCTGAAATTGAAAAATTATGATTTTTGTAGAATTATTACTGATAAAGCAGTGAAGACAATGCTAAAAGATAATTATTGCGTCGTAAGCATTATTGATTTTAGTAACTGAATTGGTGTTATTCATATGTATTCGTTCAGTAATATCGTATACTTTATCCAAACCTATATTATAAATTCGGAACTGTGCTTATCTATTTGTCTATCTGTCTGTCTGTTTATTACCTTCAATAACCACAATAAAATTTAACATGAAGATACATTGTGGCCCGAGGATTTCTTCTGTAAAAAAATGTGACGAAATCGCGAATAGCAGCTAGTTTGATTATGAATCTTTATAATATTTACCATTGCGTTTCATTAATTACAATACTTTATATTAATTATTTTATGTATTATGTCGTATTACAAGTTTATCTATAATCATACTCGTTTGATATATAATACGATAAACACACATAACATATGTTGCAATCATGAAACATATGATATGCAGTATATGACCTACTGTTCTAATATTTAGAGTAGTTATTTTATCAGGAGAGTATCATTTTTAGTTGTATCTGTCTGATTTGTTATTAATTTCTCTTATATTTCAAATAGGATAAAAGTATCAAGAAAAATTAAATCCTTCTTCATTTACCAGTAAATTGTTACCTTTAAGAAATTAATGTAAAATTTCTGTTATAAAACTATCACTTACGGGCTAATAAGTATTTTATTCTCTTATAATAACGTATTCATAAATTTAATTACAGACGATCAATGTTATGTCTAGCATATTATATGACTGAAATTTATTCAATTAACCTATTAATATTGCTGTATATATCTGCTTACTGTACGGCTATATTTAATAACACGCCCTTATTTATTACAATCATAACTTCTGAAGACACCAACTTACAAAATTAATATCGATCATCCTCTTGAAGTCCCCGTCTGTGCCCAAAACCGCCGCGTTGTTTATAACTCCATCGAGTCTTCGGTATTTATCTAAAACTTGCTTGTATGCAGCGGCGAGTTGTTCGCTGTTTGCAACGTCACATTTTATAAACTTAGTTCTTAGGGCGCCAAACTTGTTCAGGAGTTCAGTCTCTAAGGCGGCGCCCTCTCGCTCTGATACGTCCAGGAAAACGACACACTGTAATTGAAAGTTAGCTTGGCTTTATTAAGTGAATAATGGACATTTAAACATGGATCTTGTAAATAAATGTATGTTGATGCAAAAAATCCTTAAATCTTGTGTCACGATGATTCTTGTAACTACTAATCCAAAACTACCAGTAGTTCACCTTTAAGAACATATCTTATTATTCTAATTTTTTGTTTCAAATATTAACAATAGTACTAGGTTTGTTATCCCATCCAAATCATTTAGATGTAATTTACATATAATAGACTAATTTGAATAAAATCACATTCCAAGAAATTATTAGAAAAAAAATCGTTCTTAAAATTATATTATTACTTTAAATTTAATTATAACTATTATACCAATATTTTAAAAATATAATGGTAATATTCATGGTTTATAATTAGTGGAAAAGAAATTAAAATTATTATTTGCTATGTACTGAATTCCAACCATTTCGTTACAACAAATTAGGTAGCAGAAATAATGTTGAATTATAGATTTGAAGCGGTAGACTAACCCCTACTACTAGAGGTCCCATTACCTTTCGTGTTAATGATCAATCTCCGTTTGTTATTAAAATTACGCCTATATTGCAACACGTGTTACACTCCTGAATGAAGTATCATAAGGCGATATATTAATCAGAGCTTGAAATGAACCAATGGACCATTCTGCGTCCACATTGCTAAAATAAATATTTTGTTAAATCTTGCCACCAATGAACTAATGCAGGTGAGGCGTTTTATCGAAACGAATTATCACTCTCTATCTTTAATGAAACATAAAATTGTTCAAAACAACCTCTTATCACCTCTATCTACTGTTTGTACCTGTTTGTATGTACGGTCAGTCACATTCGTCCCATTTTAAGACCTAATTTTTATGGTCCTTGTGGTGGTGGTGTGGTGGGGTGGAAATACAATATTACCATTCCACGAAATTAGTAAGAAGTCACAACTGGAATAAAACTCAAATACGTCACTGTGTTGTATTCGATCGCCATAGAGAGTTGATTTGCTCTACACCATCAAATCTGGGCTTTCGCCCTTGAAATCGTGGTAGCATGCAAATGCCATCTCATGACTACGGTAAGTGTAGGTACCTTGAAATACACCGTGTAGTTTTTTAGTGAGTGAAAATTCCACACTCCCCGTTCGCCACTCGGTGGTCTTTCACAAAATAGAAGGTGGGAATATTTTTACAAGCTAAGATGTATGTAATACAAGTATTGTTTTAGAGTCTAAGATTGTGAATGTAAGCCACAGAGTTAATCTATGTTATGCGAAATATCCATGTCTAGCCTAGGAACATTGATCAGCTACAGTATTGATTTTTGAGGTCAATATTAATAAAATATAGTACCCTGGCATTTTCATGTAGCAATGCTCTGACAATGCCTGCACCTACTCCAGCAGCCCCGCCAGTCACGAGGAATACGTTGTTTTCTATCATTTGTTTAAAAATGAACTATTGACAAATTCACTGCCACTAACACACAGTATTATCAAAATATATCTGTTACAAAACACGCAATGTTTTATTAATTATTAATTATTTTCGACTGACTAGAAATACGTTCAACCTAAAACAGTTACTTTATCGGACTAGATATTTAATACTCGGCTGTCATTACACGTTATCAGCTGATAAGTATTTGTTGATAGAATACGATTTTCGATACGTCGTACAGGTTCAATTATCATGTTTATGTTTTTAACAGTTTCTGGATTCTATTAATCTTTACTATTTTATTTGTCCAATTTCTTGTATCGTATGTGTTGTATATACGACCTACTTATTAATTTGTTATTTAATACATTACGAGTAATAGTTTAGTTGTCAAATATAGATTGACATCATTGTAAATATATTATAAAAGAGACAATACAATTATTCTGCAAACATACATATTATTATTATTTAACACATCTCAACAAAAAGAACCCCACCACAACATCTGGCGACCGTGACTTAGAAGAAAAATGTTGAAATTAAGCAAATCCAGAACAAATTTACGCCGATTATTCACAAAGACTGGGAACCAGTTATCAGAATTATTAAAGGAACCCATACCAAATACTGCGGAAATAAAGGCGTGTCATTCATATTATAAAGGTATAGCAGACGAATTATTTATAGTTGATAAAGATATTTACAATGAATGGTTGAATGACGACGAAACAAATGAAGATGAATTTTACGCAGATTGTGAAACGGCCGATGAATTTTTGATTAAATGGATTACTCTAGATAATATGTATCAAGACGTAATACAACGGCAGAATAAACATCAACCTGTCTCTCAGTTTAGTCGTATCACCTGAGAGACAGGATATAAGTTCAAGAACTTCAAATAGAGATGACAATGAACAGAGTGTGAGCAATTATAAAAGTACGAGAATTTTAAAGAATTCACACGAAGTGAGTGTCACTAGAGACTCGATAAATAAAGAAAGAGATGAAAGAGTCGAGTTAGCCATGTCAGGGTTTATAGATTATATGAAAGAAGTAAATGAACCGACAATGGAATATATTTCATCGGGTATGAGTAAGAAATACGAAGGAGATGAAAAGATAGAAAAAGACGTAAGGAAACATTCTTTGAAGTATGAAAAGACTAGTTACGACTATAAACAAAAGAAGGAAGAACAAAAACTAGATACAATTTTGACATACTATGATTATGTAGAAGTGGAAAATAAATTAGTAATGATTATACAAAGAAAATATTATCAAGTGAATGACGAGTTTAAGAAATTGAAAAACAAGACTATTTTTACAGACGAAAAAAGTATGATAAGAATGAAAACTAAATTAATACTGAGCCAAGAGGAAAATAGAGATTTTAAATATTTAATAATATTACCATCGCATAGTGTAATTTTATTTCGTCTAGTTCAAGACAAGCATATCAGCTGGAAATTTAAGCCACCGGATTTTGTGAAACAACATACTACTTGGTGGAGGGAGGTTAGTGGAAAGATGGTACGCTTGGTTCGATGGTGAGACGGGATAGAGAGAGTAGGCAAAATTAAGACAAACTCTCAAAGTATCATTTATTTTAGGCTACCTGAAGAGCACTTCATGTCTGTGGGAGGATGTTACGAGTATATACGACCTACTTATTAATTTGTTATTTAATACATTACGAGTAATAGTTTAGTTGTCAAATATAGATTGACATCATTGTAAATATATTATAAAAGAGACAATACAATTATTCTGCAAACATACATATTATTATTATTTAACACATCTCAACAAAAAAGAACCCCACCACAACAGTATGCATAGTTGAATGGTTTCTAAATTAGATATATAAACTTGTATATAACGCACTATTTTAAATTAAGATTAATGGGATTGCTGTTATGATATGCATTACATTAAAACGTACACTAAATTGTGTATTTACTTTCCTTATGATTTAACTGGCCCTTTGGTAATTAATATATTAAAATTATAATTGTCTTCACAATTTAATTTTCCTTAATTGTTCAGATATTTTAATATAGCAGTTTTTTAATTCGTGACAGAGAAAAATGTCACAATTATCGATTTACCTATTCTTGACATGACCTTGCTTTATATATATATATATATATATATATATATATATATATATATATATATATATATATATATATATAAATAAATAATAATAATAATATATAAATAATACATTTTACAATTATGGTTAAGGGATTTATTCACTTCTTACTCCGTAATGTTTCTGAAGACAGCGACGACGGAAATATTTGATACGTAGGTAGGTACTTATGCAGACAAGTCTATACAAAGGTTTTCTCCTTTTATAAGGTAAACAAAGAAGTCAAGAGATTGTAAGCACTTTTTAAGACTTAGCCATTTTTATTTATTTTATTACTGTCTAGTATAAAGTATTATTGGTGTAGTAGTACAGTATAAGTATTGTTACTTATTTTGTTCAAAACTCTTATCAAAGCTTTTATCTCATATTTCAATTATTTATAATCTGAATAGAGTGACGATAAAAGAATACTGCAGGCACCAGCAATAAGTTGCACTAGCCGTGGTCACGAGCTGAATACAGCACGTGACCACGGCTAGTGCAACTTAATCAAAAAGTCGAGAGGATATTTATAGTAAAATTATTCGTGCAAAAGGCCCGATTAACTATATTAATAATCTTCTTATAGCTAAAAACATGAATTGTTCATTTATATTATGCAATACTTTTCAAAAACTGATATGTTTTCATAACACAAAATACCTATGTCATAATTTGTATTAATAGTACTTTTATGTGAAAAAACATATTTTACTGAATAAATAATAAGTTTTTTTTCTAACAAAACAAAACACTAAACACTAACAAAGATTGATGATTAATATTTGGTAACATTGTGCAGGTATTACTTTAGTGTAGGTTTCATAAAAATAAACTCTCACGATTGGTAGGTTTATTGGTGTGATCTTGTTTTTAGTGTCCCTTCATAGCACGTGTAAGATAAATTCCTTTTGCGAGATTACCTCGGTGGTCTATAAAGAAAGGAACGTATCTCAATCTCGCGCGGCGCACTCTACAGTTTCCCCCCGGCTAGGCGGCTCATTTCGAGTCAAGGGGGTTGACGCGGCGAAGCGGCTAAAGCACTGTCAAGTGCTGCAGCTATTGACTACGCAACAATAACGCCTAATAGTAGACTCGCTAACGACGCTAGAGGTTTTTGTTTAAAAATACCAAAGACATTACAGAAAACATAACCTTAGATTTATTTATTTTTGCGCCATGTCAGATTTCTATTTTATAGTTATAGTTATGTATAGAATATCTATGAATGATAGGAAAATGAATGTAAAAGCAAATGATAGGACAATGTCCAAAAATAGGTGGGTATATGTAATATATCAATACATAAAAATATAATCTGTCTATTCATGTAAAGAGGAAGATATACATATTATTTTTAAGTCATAAAATTGTTTATTAAATAAATAATAATAATAATAATAATAATCTCTTTATTGTGCACATAGAAGAAATACAATAAGAAAAAAAATAATAAATAGAAAATTATGATCAAAAGGCGGTCTTATCGCTGTAAGCAATTTCTTACAGACAACCTGCAAGCTAGGACTAACATACACAGAAGAGGTAGATGGCACACACTACAAGACACTATAATTATCAAATTAATTAATAGACATACATATACATATACATATATATATATAAATAAACATACATACATATATTCAACATATTGGAAGATTTCAAAGTTAAATAGGATCTAAAAAAAAAAAATTGCTATAGGGACAGATAATGAGACCTTAGACGATTTTTAAATATTGTATGAGATTGAGTCGGATCGAATGGAGAGTGGTAGAGAGTTCCAAAGGCGAATGGCTTGGACAGTGAAAGAGTTGGAATAATATGTAGAGGAGTGAGCAGGGATCGTCAGACAAAGGCTTCTGGTGCTACGCAAAGCAGAACCGGGGGATTTAGAGCTCTTTTGAAATAAAAAAAATGTTTTTAGATATTATATATATATATGGAAAAGAATGGTGTAAAGAAGGCATAGTATGTGAAAATTCCTGCGAAGACGAATGGGAAGCCACTTGAGTTGGTCATATTACGGAGACCAAATATGAATCGTATGGACATATTTTGGAGTCGCTCAAGTTTATTTAATTGTTCTTCAGTGAGATTTACATAGCAGGAATCCGCATAATCTAGGATTGGAAGTAACAAGGAATTTGCGAGCGCAGTTTTGGTATCCACTGGTAGGAAGTTCCGCAACCTATTAATGCTTCCGACGGCTGCAAACATTTTCCGACTCAACTGTGAAATTTGTGGTGACCAAGACAAATTTTCATCAAAAAGAATTCCAAGATTTTTGACCTGAACGGAATATTTAATGTCATGGCCATCAAAGGTAACGGGTGGTAGATGATTGAAGTCTAATCTAGAAGTAAAATATGAACTTCCAATAATTATACATTGTGTTTTTTTAGGATTTAATATAAGGCCATAAGCTTTGCTCCAATCAGATATATAGGCGAGATCCAGATTTATATCGTGAATAGCATCGCTAATATTAGGCAGATCAGCTTGTGAATAAATTTGAAGGTCATAAACGATTTTATGTAAAGATTTTATGCAAGAGAAAATATGAACAACTAAATATTTTGGTTATTTAAACCCCAAGTGGATTTAAAATAAAAATACAAAACTATACATATCATACAGGTACTTTGGCAAAACCGAAATTATTAAAGAACTAAATAATAACTTCATGAGCATTGTGTTCTATAACTAGCGTGTCTGAAACATTTCATTTCAATCTAACAGTTTACGTAGATGCAATTCTGTATATTTTTTTAATTATTCCAAGCCTGCACAGTCTCTCTTTATTAACATGTAACGTGGAAAACTGAGGAACAAAAGCGAACACTTCAGAACGGGAATGCTGCCGAGTTGTGGCAGCAGCGCGGGTAAATTCTGTGGCCAAGACTCGTTTCACACTGAGCTAGTATTCATGTCTGTAATAGAGATGAAAATGT